AATATAGAATTGAAAAACTTCTTTATTCAAGAAATTGTCAAGAATAAACCAGTGTTGTTCCTCTTGGTATTCTGTTGCACTAAATGTATTGTGCACATGATAAGGTTTAGATGCTCTGGAGCTACCTCACAAGCGAGTCAACGTATTTTTCAAAAAAATGAATATCGCTGAACGCTCTTTACCATTTCAAAACTAAGGTCTTTTCTCAGCTGTGTAATTGCTGGGTTTAAGTGCGGTGACGGAAATCATCGCTGTTTTTCTGAGTCAGATCACTGATATATTTCATGTAAAAGTGATTTTTTTAGCTAGCTTCTTGCTTGTTACTAAGTCTTTGCAAACTTTAGATAACTCAGAGCTTCAAGAATACGCTCTCCAGAACTGGCCTCAGATTGTGAAATTTAGAAGAACGAAGAAGCGTGAAGGTCTGATGCGAGCGCGCATTTTCGGGGCACGGGAAGCAAGCGGAGAGGTAAGTCTTGTGAAATCCTTCATTCTGATTCTGAGTATCAGGTGTTGAGGTGCTGGTTTTTCTGGATAGCCACTGCGAAGCGAACGAACGATGGCTCGAACCGCTGCTGAATAGGATCCGTGAGAAACCGAATTCGTAACACACGATCGCTTATCGCCGATGTTCTATTTTCGATATCTGTTTCAGTGCAGTCTGTCCGATCATCGACATCATAAATCCTGATACCTTTAACTACATTGCCTCGCCGGTGTGCACTGGTGGTCTGACCTGGACTCTTTTGTTCAGATGGGAATATCCTCCGTGGTCTTATTTTCAGCAGCCGGAAGACTACGTTAAACCGTTGCGGTATGCGTTTCGCTGCATATTGTTTTAATACATATTATTTGTAATATATGGTTGGTGCAAGAAGCTTTGAACTGTCATTATAGCGATCAAATTAATTAACCTACGTCTACGTCAAAGAGAGTGGGCAACTGTCTTACTAGGGTGACTTCATGCGAAGACAAAGCTATTGCGGTAGTCTTAAATGGCTGTCAGGAACCTGAAGCGTTTGGCTAACGCGGCGTCATGATAATTGGAAAACGAATCATTCATGCCTATATCATTGCCACAGCAAGATAACAAACACGAAATTAAAAGTCGACAGATATACCGACCCTGTAGGTTGATCAACTCACATGTGATGGCATAGAAACGGAGATCTTTGCTTCACCGCAATCTTCATAAAAGGACATCACAGGTGGCCCCTAATCATCAAAGTGTCAGGGAAACCGATATTCCAAACCGTTACAGACTTTGCTAAGTTTTCTTTTCACGCACTTTGCGAGATTCACTGATACGCTTTAATCTCATTTAGTAAACTTTTTGTCTGGGAGTTGTTTTCTGCTTTTTTGCCGGTAGCTTCAGCTCAGGAATTGTGGTTAGTGATCTTGTTTTAATGCTCGCAATTGTTTTTGCGTTAAATCTTTTGGCAGCTTACCCACTGTGAACTCGTGACGATTAAACGTACGGCATAAAGTGAAAAAATTTAATGAGCTAGACGTTTCAGACCTTAATGACCTTTTATTTGTCTGGAAATGGCAAAAGTCCCAGTTTTTATCCAGTTTTGTTTCAGATCTGCAACAATGGCCGGCGGCCTATTCGCGATCAGGAAGCAGCTTTTTCAGTATGATTTCGATCGCTTTCGGTAACAATATCGCGATTTCGCAGTGATTTAGGGGAATATGACCCGGGAATGGAAGTGTGGGGTGGCGAAAACGTGGAACTTTCATTCAGAGTAAGTCGTTGCTGCCTAGTCGCTTTAGCGTGGAAGTGAGCTGCATTCATGATTATGATGCGGCTTGGGCTTTAGTTGTGGATGTGTGGTGAAAATCAGCTCGAGATCATACCGTGCAGCAGGGTTGGTCACATTTTCCGTCGACATCGACCGTACACTAGTAGCGATGGTGTCGACAAAACGCGCCATAATACAATGCGAATCGCCAAAGTGTGGTTGGACGAATATATGGTGTGAACTGATTCTGACTCTGTTTTTGTTTGTTTTTATCTGACGAACCGCATTTGCAGGACCAATATCTGCATCATGCAGGAAGGCACGGTTATACGGAATCATATGAAGACGTGAAGGAGAGGATCGACCTGCGCAATCGTCTCAGATGTAGACCATTTAAGTGGTATTTGGAAAACGTATATCCGGCTTTACAATCGGGCAGTAGTAATGTAGCAGCGTTTCGCAATTCTGAAACTTTGCCGCGTCAGAAGCAGAATCCGCCAAGGATGTCCATGGTAGGTTTTGTGTTACAAAGTAATAGTATTTATTTTTTCCACGTTTTTACCAAAAGGCATGATAAGCACAAATAACCAGCTTTGTTGTTGTTTTTTCATTGTCACCCAAGCTTAAACAATCCAGATATATAATGTCTGAAATGATACTTTAGATTGATCTTAGGCAATGTTCACTGCTACGGCAGCGATCATATTCCTGCCTCAACGAAAATTTTCAACATTTGGTATTTTCCTTCCACGTGTCTGTGGTTATTGTGCGGTTTCAAAGAAAGAAAAGCTTTGAATATATTTGTGTTCTCTTTTTGGGCCATTTTATTAAACCAAACCAGTCGCCGGTCTTTAAGTTCATCTGATAGTTTTTTCACAGATGGTCGTCAGCGCTTTCTCATTCGTGACCAGGTGGTATTCTCGTACTTTGAGAAAACGAAGCTAAACGAGCTTCAGAGCATCAGATGTTTCGAGACCGTACATAGGCACTGTGAATGCGGTTGTTTTCACGCTGTTGATCTTTGTGTCTGTTATTCTCTCAATCTTCAATCCTTCAGTATGTTGTGCAGCTTACCATAATTCGCTGACGCCGATCTGTTACGCCGATTCATTTCAGGATCAGTGTCGCTATCGTTAGTCAACACAGTTTCGAGGTACTTGAAATGTATCACTTCGTCTATCTATACCATTCAGTCATGACTTTGGATGGACGGTCGCTATAATAATCTTCATCTTTTTGGTATTCACCTGTAGCCACGTTCCCACAGCACTGCTGCTTTCTTTGAGTGTCGGTAGGCCACTTACTGAGTCACTCAACAGCACGACGTCATCGGCATACACTAGGTTCGTTAGGATTATTACCGGGTATCTTGAGTTGCATTTCTGATTAGCGGTTACTCCCTTGTTGTTATTTGGGATGACTCACTTCCGCATAACGTAGTCTGACATGATGTTGAATAACAAAGGATAGAGTACCTCGCCTTGCCGAACTCCACTGTTAATGTCGAACCATCCCCACAATGGTTCTTTATTTTAAACAGCGCGTTTGGCCCTCAAACATAATGTTTATTATCTCATGTCCAACCCGATAACGACGAAAAATGCGCCACATTTTTTTGCGATGAACTAAATGGAAGGCTTCTCAGAAGACCAGAAACGTCGCATGACAAAAAAGTTCGGCAGTGCTTGATGATTCGCTTCGGCACAAAGATGTTAGTGCATGAATGTCCACGTTGGAAGCCTGTGGTGAACGAGTGATTCCTCGATAGTTGGTACATTCAGCACGACTTCTACTCTTAAAGATCGCGATTGTCACGTTTTTGGGGATCATCGACTTTCGCTAGACGCTGTCAAAAGTCAGGTAAATCTAGCGAAGGTTTTGCCTTTGCACCTTTGCATTTAAGGTCTCTTTCGTTTCTACAGGAGTCCCAGCATCGGCAAAGGCGATAGTAAGGCACTGTCGATATCTAGATTTTTTTCCAGTTTACTGTTCCATTCGGAGGACCAGACCTACTGAGTTTTGTTGTAGAAGGTGCCAACCCAAGAAAGAAATCACCTTCCTGGGAGAAGTATTGGGAAGTGTGCGTATGCTATATGCTCCTCAAACGCTTGGCTGACCTTTGCAACGAACGTTGTGCTCCAATTGGAACTTACCAGAACCAATGATTAGTGAATTGTAATAACCTGCATTTCGTTTCTCTCGCGCTTCAGAAACGATACAGAATATTTAATTAAAACGAGGTTTCTGTTCTACTTCAGTACGTGAATCTATTATATGAGAAATACAGGTACTAATATCAGCGATGCCGTTAATGTGATATGTAGAATTAAGCTCCGTAACTGTGATCGTATATATGCGGGTGAAATCTATCGACATTTGAATAACACTTGGCAGGTTGGAAGTTCAGTCTTACAGAAAGTTGGCATCGTACAACAGCAAATTACAGAAGGATACCAGCGATGCTGGCGGTTCAGTAATTTACGTTGAAAGTAATATCCTGGTTGTTAATTAATGAGCCCGTATATATTATTGCGCACAAGGGGCAGGTTACAACGCATATTTAATTGCTTTTGACGTAAATGAAATCTGGGTTGTAGTGGGCAATCTGATGCGAGAGTTGAATAATTTCTGAAGAAAACTAAGTATGCTAATGACAATGAACAAATGGGATCAGTTAATCAACAGCTAACCTGTCAGATTAGATTCCTTCCGCCATCTAAAGCGAAAGCCCTTGCAACTTGTGACATCATATGTTAGGTTATCTCACATTATCCTGATGATGCTGTTGGTTGTCAGCGACAAATTAAG